TATATATATATATATATATATATATAAAACTACAAAAATATTACAATCCATGAAAATTGTTCTTGAGATTGTAAACCTTTTTTATCACATTTTCTTTCAGATATGATGAAATACCGCGAAGTATTTTATTTTATGAAATATGTTTTTGATAAAATTATCTTAAAGAAGGTAAAAGACAATTGATAAAAATCTTCAAGAAATTACTCGGAATTACTACTTCTATATGATATTATAATTTTCACTATTCATAGTGAATTTGTAACAGATAATACTAAATGTTACTAATATTTATAGTAACATTTTATTGAGTTACGTGGTACGATTTAAAATAATAAAAAAGGGAATCACACGCGTCTGCAATTACGAGCTGTCAGCAATAAACTTCGTATTTTTACAATTTACGACTCGCATTTGTCTAATTGGGAAACTATTCAGAAAATGACGGTAGACTTAGGTTTCGTGGAAAAATGCGAATCTTGGCAATTAAAGAGCAGATTTTTCCCAAGCAAAGTCGGCGGTAAACCAGCCTGGCTTGATTTAAAAAATATACCCGGAGAAAAGGATCTTCTGTGCAAGTATTGCAGGGAACCTTGTATCTTTTTATGTCAAATCTATGCACCATACGAGGATAACGAAGATGCCTTTCATAGAACGATATTTATCTTTATATGTAAAAAAGTCGAATGCTCAAAATTGAATGATAATGGAAATTTAAAAGTCTTTCGTTCTCAACTACCGAGGATAAATGAATTTTATTCAAGCGAACCTCCTGTAGAACAGAATGACTGGAGGACTGATATTAGTATGTATCATTAAAAATAGATAATTTTTTTGTTTTTTAAATGATCTATAACAGTAAAGAAACAACGTGAATAATTTTAGGCGTAAACAAGTGGGTAAAAACATGTCACATCTGTGGAATATTAGCACCCAGTCATTGTTCTAAATGTAAGATTGTTAATTATTGTTGTCGTGCTCATCAAATATATGACTGGAAGCATGGACATAAAGAAACTTGCAGCAGTAATAAAACAGTAATAAAAAAGCCTGAAATCTTGTTAACCGAATATGAAATAGTAATAGAAATGGAAGACAAAGAAGATGCAAATAATACAGATTTAATCAAAGAAGAAGAAGAGATTAAAAAGTATGAAGCAATGGTACAGAAAGGTGAAGCAGGAAGTTTTCAAAATGAAGATATACAAAATGAATTGTTAAATATGGTTAATCAGAAAGAAGACAAAGTATTTTCCAAATTCCTTTCAACTATTGATAAATATCCAAATCAAATATTAAGGTTCAAATTTTTTTATATTGTTTTCCTTGCTTGAAAGTTTTTGAAAGTTTTTTGAAAAAAAAAGAAGAGTATTAAATATAAAAAATTTTACATGTTTGCAGATACGATAGAGGTGGCAATATTTTATACATTTCAGGAGAGAGTAAAATTGATGAAATACCAAGGTGTTCAGAATGCAATGGAGAGAGGCAGTTTGAATTTCAGGTAACATAAAAAACGTTTTGTAAATAAAAGTTGCATATGTAACTAATAAGATTGTTTGTTATAGATTATGCCTCAATTATTGAACTTCTTAGAACTTGAAAATCCACTAAAATGTATTGATTGGGGAATTTTAGTAATATTTACTTGTATAAGATCATGCATACCTAAAAATGGATATAGTATAGAATATATATGGAAACAAGACATCATAGGAAGTGAATGTGATAAAAATTCAAAAGAGTGAAACACAAATGCTTGTAATACATAATTAAAATATAACAACACAAAAGCTACAATTACCTTGTAGAATAATTTTAATGGACCAAAATAAAATACATGATTATTTTAATAATAATAGTTTAAGTTTTACATTCCAAAAATCATATAAGTAAAGTTGATAAAAAACCAAAGTAAATATTTTTTCATAAAATTAGATCACAAAATTGATCGTTCGCGAGATAAAAATAATGTTCATATATATACTGAACATACAATGTTATAAAAAATAGTAAGTGGTAATACAATAGATAATAATTGATAATACAATATAATTAAATAATACATCAAAGTATCAAATTTCTTGAAAGATTGTTAACAATTATAGCATTTTAAAAGAAATATTAAAATAAAATGTACAGTCATCATGTACAGTCATCTATAATATATATCAATAATGGATTATTGTGTGTAAAAAAAATATATCTCAATAATACTATATTAACTTCTTATGTCAAACTTTTTTAATACTGTTTCGCTGAAAAATTTTCGTTTAATTCATTGATAGAGGTAGTTTAATTTTGTCAATCATAAAATTATAGTACATGCTATCGATAAAATTATTTTGTCAAAGAAAGTAAGAAAGATGAACTATCGTTACAATATTGTTTGAAGTACTTTAAGGTAATACTTGTTACAGCTTTTGTTAAATTATGAGACAAATCAAAAGGATCTTGCACACACAATGGAGAATCAATTCGAAAATATTCTGGTTCTTGTGAGGTTTCTAGATAGTTAATGTAAGGTTTCATTTCTTCTGGTAACATTTTTATGTCTGTAAAATCTTTTTTAGCTACACATTGACCCATAAGTGGACAAATAATGTAATGTTGATAATCAAAATTTGCATAAAATTTAAAAAAACCCAGTAATAATGTAGAAATAGGTTGCTTTGATTTATTATTAACTTTTGGTTGGGCAACACCAGTTTCCCACCCTGAAATAAAATTTGAATTCAATAATTATAATTAAGAAAAACAAGATCCATTTTGTTGGATTTATAATATGTCTTACCGGATATAAGTTTAGAATTATTTTTCTCTTCTATTAATTCGGCAACACTTGGAAAATAAGATTCTGTTTGTAAGTAGAATATAACAAGCCAACTAAGGGCATAATTTATTAAACCATGTCTTCCAGGTAAATTAAAATTAGATAACCATTTTTTTACAAATAATATTAACTTTCTACAGGGTAAATATGCATCATTGAAAGATCTAAAAATGATAAATTATTTAAATAAACATACCAATTTATTTATGTATAAAATTAATAAAAAATAAAATACAACACCTTATTAGTTTAGAATTCTCAACAGAAAGACCGTGTGTAGTACAAATATCACAGTGTAAACCATTTCGTTTATATATTAATTTTATTATAGGAGTTCTCGTTTCTTCCACCATTTCCTTTATCTCCCATTCATCTTCACGTAATCTTTCTTTAATAGTTCTAAGATAAGATTTTGCTAGTTTATCATCCCTGATTTCTTGATTGTATGTGTTACCTATTAATATATAACAATAAAATAAGTGACATTCAGAACTTTATGAATGTTTCATACTTCTGATGTACATATCATACTTTTAAAATACTCACTACAGTCAAGATATATATCTACGTCACTATTTAGCAATGCAAGTCCAGCAACCCTTGAGCCAAATGCAAATGCTTTAATAGTTGGATAATCAGATTTCAAACTATTTTGTAAAGATTGTGTTATTTCCTGTAAAACATTGTCATTTGATAAATCTTGTGATTGTTGGAATAAAACATTAGAAACTTTATCAACTTGCATTAAAATTTCTTTTATATTATCAGGAAGATCCTCAACCATAAAATCTTTACTTCTTAATAAATATTTGTGTAACTCATCATTACAATGCTTTGTATAACAGTCTTCCTTTCCCAACCATAACACAGTACATGGAATACAAAAGTCAAATACTTGATCTTCTAAAAGTGGACTGTGTTGTTTATTGATATGTTTTACAAATTCAATTTTGTAATTAAATCGTTCTGAACATAAAGCACAACAAAATTTCTGAATACTATACCACAAATTATTAACTTCTTGTGATATAGTATCAAAAATGGCATCTATAACTTTGGTAAATTCGTGACATTTTTTTCTGTGACATTCTTTTTCAATATGTGACATAAAGTAAGATGTATCATTTTTAACAAAATTTTCACAAGGATAACATTTTACTTCATATTTTGATATTTTCTTCATATATTGACCTGATAGTTTATCAAAGTTCATATCCTTCTTAATTTGATTAACTTCCATTTTATGTTCTTGTAGGCATACGTGTTCATATACAAGATATAATTCTTTTAGAACTTTTTTATTACAGGCTAAACAATAGAAGTGTGTACTATCATGTGGTATAATTAATCTTAAATTTATTTTAATATTGTTCAATTTTTCTTGAACAGTATACATTTTTTCTTCTATTTTCAAATATTTTTTAGTATACAGTTTATTTAAACGTTCTGATATTTTTAGAGATTTTTCTTTTGGTTTGCATATGATTGAGTTTTGTTTGTCACGCAGAATGTTTATAATTTGCACACATACTTCTTCGGTTATAACAGAATCACATTGATCATTATCAATAGGTAGTTTATTCAGTTTTACTGTTAATGTATCAATATTATTAATATTAAACTGCTCACTATCACTTTTATTTATACCTGCAAATATCTTATTATTTTCATTTGAATCATTTCTCAGAGATATAGTATTTTTTAGTAATTTATTTGTGTTATAACCTACATTATAAATATCATTAATTGAGCTATGATTTTCATTTATACCTGTACATATTGTATTATTTGAGCTTGTATTTGTATTTGTACCATTTTTATAAGTATTTAAATTTGCATTTTGATTTGTAAATAAGTTCTTGTGAGATTTTCCTTTGGTATGTAAGAAAATATTATGTAATGAAATCATTTGACGATTACATACTGTACATAAAAAGATATTAAGTTCCAAATTTTTAACTCTATTGTCTAGCAGTTTTTGTTTTACCAATTCTAAGCAATCTTTATTGCATGAAATTGAAGAGCAAATTTTGCACTTTCTTGTATTTGAAACTGTATATTGTATTTCATCACAATTTAATTTTTTCTTTCTTTCATTATTCATTTCATTATGTTCTTTTATGGTTAGAGCTTGTAATAACCTATGGCTTTTTTCTTTAATATGTAGCAAAATATGATTAAAAGAAGACAAAGGACACGTGCACAAGTCACATATATATTCTTCTTTATCAGAAATAATATGGTTAAATATATAATATTCAGATATAATTACTTTATTATTTACAAAGATTTCATAATAATTATTATGAAATCTCTTAAAATTTTTGTAAGATATATATTTGTTATACTCATTATTAATATAGGAATCATATGCTTTGTATGCAATTAAATTTTGCAATAATAATTTCATGTCAAACATATTTGTTTCATCTACTTCTAATTTACATATAAATTTATGTACATCACTTATAAGCGTTATTATTGAATTTTTTATTTGATCAAAATTTATAATATTGTTCTGTAACTTTTGGGTATGTCTTTCACTTTCAATATGTTGCAAAATATTAAGTAAACCTTTAAAACTTCTTCGGCAAGGTATGCATATGAAACCATACACTGCAATTATGTATGCAGTTGTACTCTTATTTACAATCTCTTGATATGTTTTTGTAATGTTATACTGCTTGAACATTTTCAATATCCGACTGCACCTTGCTATCATATGTTCCTCTCCATTAATATGATACAAAATATCTTCAAGGCTAGCTTTTACACACATGCATAAATGACAAACGTATTGCCCATCGTAGTTGATTATATTATGATTCACCAATTTTTTGAACATTTTTAATCTTTTAGTATGAAATTGTTCATACAATAATTATAATAAATAATTATTTTTTATTGCATGATAGAATATCTTTGATATTAAATATTTAATAAATTATATGCAGTATTTATTGTAAAAAAATTATCTAAGTTATTTTTCAATTGCACGCAATTATCAATCTTATCTTCTGTATCACATTGCACAATTTTGTGAATCACTTTTGATAAAATTATAAGAAAAACTGACGCTGATTGACAAATTCGTAAATTGTCCAATATATCATGTATGATATCGCCCGATGTCAACCGACGTCTTAGCGTTCATACTGCAGGTCTTTCACGATTCAATTTTCTTTTATTCCAATTTCAAGTTCTATGTTTTTCTCTTCGGTCGGCATCCAGGATGGAGATAATTGCTCCACCTGGTGTCGAGTCTCCGCAATGTTCGTCATTCAACATTCCGATATTCTATATTCAACAGTCGCAAGTGATCGCAGTTAGTCGATAGATTGATAGGGATTATTAAATTAAGCGCGCACCCTCTTAGGATGAGTCCAGTCCGATATAAGTCCCAGAAAAAAATCTCTCACTCAAGTATTTAGGATCAGAAGTCACTGTCATCACAGACGAGATATATGATATGATTTGTCTGTGCTTAAGCATAGAGTGCGCTAAAAAACCAGTAATTTTTTTTCCTGCTCGATATTTCAGACTCTAAAATACGAAGTCCCATTTCATGTCTACTCTATCTTTAGTCAATGGTAATACATAATACTAATTAAATAGAGGAGGAATCTAACAATATTATGAATACAGTGCTTTGCTAACTTCATTGATTTAGAACTCTGATTCTTTATTAAGAGAAACATTCCTTTTATTATAAGTTTAATCTTTTTTGAAGAATAATTTAAAGCACATATAGTTTCTGTAAAGTCATCAGTAGTCATACATATAGTAGCAAAATTTGATGTTGACCGGTGTAAGATAATAAAAGTGTTCTAATATCGTAAATTTAATAATTGCAAAGCAGAATTGAGAAGAACACTAATGAGTAGGCACAGAAAAATGCACAAATAAAAAGTGCATGCTGCGCATATGTGATTTTCAACCAATACTAGTATTTTTATGATTGTTTTATTTAATTATTAACTAGACCCACCTTTCTTTCTGAATGACATGATAACGTTTTTAGAATTCCCCAATTTATTAAGCATCATTTCAGTATTTAGAGATGATATTTACAATTAGTAAAGACACTATTTGTTTTTCACAATAAAATTAATCAAAAATAACTATTTTATAAAAATATTTAATGATTAACACATAGTAATATTAATTTGCAACGTATTAATTTATTACATGCTAATCATTAATTACAACTAGCAAAATTTAAAATCATGTTTTAATATAGGTCGGCGATTAAATAATTTTGAACAGTTTCATATAAAATAAAAGAAATTGTTCCTGCGTAATCATTACTTAAAACATTTTTTCAAATATTGTTGATTTGACGTATTTACGCATTGTAATAGTATATTCAGGATATATTAGGAAAGTTTATTATATATTAAGGATAGTATGGTTTGAATCAACTGTACTGATTAACGTAGTTCAATTGAGTACCTCTATACGGAAGTGACAGGAATTGCGATTGGTAGGGTAGCGTTATTTTATTACGTGTCATGTACGCAAATCTGCATTTCTCGATTGCTTGAGAATCCCGAAACGGGCTTTTGAAGTTCTTTAGTATTTGATTATCTTAATTATTAAAGGTATTTGAAATTTATATTTTTAGTTGTTTTAATGGCAAAGTTTATTATTTTCGTTTATTGTGAAGTGCGTGCACCCTAGTAGTATTTAAAACTGTCATAAACATATGTAATACAAATGTAGTACTTCGTTCACATTGTTATTTTATACTTTAAGAAGCAATATACGGTATAATTTAAATAACAAACATACCATTTATAGAGATTAACATATGCGATAAAAATTACTTTCACGATCTTGAGTCAAGCGACAAAAAAAAGCTACATACGTTAATTTTTCTTAGCAGTCATTCAGAAATATTCTGACACCTTAATGTTCTCCTAGATTTCATTACTAATTTATTTACAAAGAAGATGGTAAGTTCATTTCAACAACAAATACCATTAATACATATTTCTTTTTGTAGCAAGAAGATGCGTCAATTGAAAGGCAAGACAAAAGAAACGAATAAACAGAAAAAAGAGAGGAAAAAGGAATTTCTAGAGAACAAACAACGTGTTTTTACAGTTGTATTACCAACCATTGCTGCAATATTTGTTGTAATAGCAGCGTATGTTTATGTTAAAACCCGTCCAAAAGTTGTTGAATATTAATTGGCATGTGTTCATTATTGATCATTAAAACATAATACATAATGTATCTCAAGAATGCTTGGACAGTTCCTTGATACATTTGTACAACTAAATAAGAATTGTTTAAATAAGAATGCAGATTTGAATGTCTGCTCATATGACATTTCATTCCTATCATTCAATAATCAAATATAGACATTGTGTATTAATTATACGACTTTTACAAAATATTTTTCATGCTAAATGTTATAAGATACTGGGATATATATATGTACCAATTAAGGCAGATGTAATTAAGACATTTTTATTATATGAGAAAAAAAAGTACTTGTGCTATCATTGAAAGATCTATCTCTATCGAAGTAATTAGCTTTCAAATTTGTATATTAAATTGCAGTTTATTGCATTTTTCAAACGTAATTTTATAAAATGATCGACTTCAGTAGAGAATTACTCCAATGTGAAAAGGATAATTCCAAAAACGTTGCATTTTTAGCACAATACATGTTTTTTCCATATGAGTTATTTTACATAGTTTTATGAAATATCTAGTAACTTTACTATTCTTTAAAATAAGAATAGAGAATATTGTTTTATAAAATATTTGCATAATAAATATGGATATAAAATAATCTTAATATACGCTTATTATTTCAAAAAAATTATTCTTTTACATAACAGTTTCCTTTATCTTGTATTTATTTTATTTTTTCCTCTATTTGAGTAATCTTATGAAATTACAGAAACTGTGTTTTATATCGTCAAAGCAAAGTATCTGTGTGGATATTCAATGAACTATAAACATGCAACTATGGTTATAAAAATAATGATTGAGAACCACTACCTTAACCACGTTATACCAATAGGGAGTTAACACGTATATAGATGTACACATGTAACCATCGGCATCTATTTCTTTATAAATTAAATATTTTATTAGTGTTTTAAAAATGAGAGAACATACTATTTGTTTCTCATTTGTAATTTCATTTGTAATAATTGTGTTTTGCGCCAATTCTGTGAAAGGTATATTGACATTTGTTATATTTTCTATGAAACGTCAAAATCAAGTACAGTAGCAGATATTGTGTATTTTGAAATATTATTAATGTTTAAAATGAAGTTAATAAATTGTTATATCTTACATTTTTAAAATTTCCAAAATTCATTGTTACAAAACATTCTATCAAATTCATTGATGTCATCAGTTTCTGTTAACCCCCTTTTTTGTTTATTTTTATATTAATCAAAGTTTGTAACTAAGCAACTTTGTAAATATTATTTATTTTAATGTGTTACATGTAATTGTATTATATTCCATTTAAATAACTTTACTTTAATTACACATTATTATTCTTAAGAAAAATTATTATAAAATTTATAAATAAGAAGATATGTATATACATAGCTAAAGGTACACAACATGTGACATGCGGTTCTACTTTAAAATTAATGAATGTGGACTATAAAGTAAGATTACATTCTCATGACATAAAATATGGAAGTGGAAGTGGTCAACAATCAGTAACAGGAACTACAATAAAAGAAGATGGAAATTCTTATTGGCTTGTGAAAGCAGGAACAAAGAAACGATGTACTAGAGGGTTTGTATCTAACGGTATTAATTCATAACATATCTTTTACTAGTAATCAGAATAATTTTTAATAGAACACCAATCAAGTGTGGAGACATTATAAGATTAGAACATATAGCAACAAAAAAGAATCTTCATTCTCATCGTGTTAGTTCACCACTTAGTGGAAAACAAGAGATATCTGCCTATGGTGACAACAAGGGAGAAGGAGATAATGGTGACAATTGGCTTTTAGTATGTCAAACTGAATTTTGGAAAAGAGATGAACCTGTTATGTTAAATCATGTAGATACAGATACGTAAGTTTTTTATATCTTTGTATTGTATGAAACAAAGAATCTTTTCAGTAAATATTTTACTTTTCAGTAAAAATGTTTTTATTCTGCAGGTATTTAGCAGTAAGTGGAAGAGTTTATGGTAATCCTATTACTGGCCAGATTGAAGTAATAGGTGAATATTCTGCTTGGTCTCCTCATATTGAATGGGTAACAACAGAAGGAGTATTTATTCATCCTAACGACTTTAAAGCACAACACCATGTACATACAGAATTATAAAATGAATTCTTTAGTTAGATGCAGAATTTTTCATGGCAATAGTCTTATAAACATAACTTTATAATAAACTGAAATTAACATCAGTATCTGATTATTCCATAAAGATTATTTCTATAAAGAAAGATTTTTCTACAAAATAATTTATATACTCTTATATAATATATAAGAAATTAATTAATATTAATAATTATTATTAATAATTTTCAAAAAAATTGTACGTTATCAAAAAAATTCCTATTACTTATTTATAATTTAGGAAATATTAAAATAAAATGATTAATTCTGATTTTGTTGTGATTTTCATTGTATATGTAAATGTAATGTAAAATTATTTCCTCATATTGTATTTATAAAAATTTGTGTGAAGAATGCAGTATGTTTTGTGTAGCTACAATATAAAAGTGTAGCAATGTAAAAATATGAAAGTGTAGTATAAAAGTGTAAATGTATTAAATATATGTGATTTATTACAATATAATGCAATTTATAATGCTTGAGAAATTTATATTTCATTTTATGTATACATGTTCATGAAAAGTTCATAATGTTTAATTATTATAAGAGCTTCTATTTTTCATTATATTTGCTTTAATTCGTATTTTCCATTGAGATCTCTAGTCCCTATAAGACCATTATATGGAAAAATAATGTTTGAGAGGCCATAACTTCCAAAAATTTCTCTCAGAGTTTGTTTTCCTGATATATTGGCATATCGTTGTTTTCCTGTCATGCAACTATGCAATTTCCATGTTGCATATACTAGACAAATACACAAAATGGAAACTAATATATCAAACATTGTTACAAGTAGTATATAAGTATTTTCTTTAGAATGTAATAATCTAATAAGTGCAACAGGAAAACAGAAATTTAAAAATATATTGAAGGAATCTGTATCTGTTCTTATTACGCGATTAATATTGTCATATAAATATGGGCCAAGAGTACATAATGAGTATACACATGTTAAAGATGTATAAAAGCAAAATAGAATAAAATTGCCTATATTTTGTCTTAATATACAAGCACCCAAGAAAAAACAATGATGGTCACGAAAATGAAAACACTTTCTGCAAAAAATGCAATGTTGTGTTGGCTTACATGTATAACTAATACATTTTTCACAATACCAGTACTTATGTTCAGCATTATTCTGTGCCTTATTATATATTAGTAACTTCTTTTCCATAGTTTTAATTTCCATAATTGTTGCATTATGACTTATAGCATACACCGAATACCAATTTAAATATACTTCAATGCAAAAAAATATGAAAACTGGAGTAAGTTTTTCATTAATATATGTTGTTAAAATGATAACAACTATACTATATATTAATGCAATAAATGGACAGACTTTTACAGCAATTTGTAGAAATGCTTTCATATTTTCTAGATCTAATACTATTCACGTAGAACAAACTTGAATAAAATTTAATAAATTTTAAATTGTTATCTTCTTCATAGTCTTCTTTATTATTTTTATATTAATCCACTATATGAGTACATTTTTCCTTTTCCTGCAAAGACATCACATTATAAAAATTTTCCTTTTTATTTTTAAATCTTAGCGGTAAAATAAAACAAAAATTCGACGTTTATTTCTATAATCTTTTAATATTTACTATTATTATAAATAATGAAAGAAAAAGATGTTTAATGGCAGAATTCAATACATTGATTAATTTACTTTTCGAAAAATAAATATCCACAACGAACATTCAAAATATATATGTTATATCGTATTTTCAATATTAGCTAATTGATAAATTCTTAGAGGTTAGTTCATTACTTATAACCTCTTCAACATTCTAATTGCTAAATATTGTAATAAAAATTTTGATAAAGATTACCTTTAATTAATAAAAGGATGATGTCATTATAATAATATACGTAATGTCAATAGTGTTCAGTTTTTTTATGTTTACATATTTATAAAACATAACTTTTCAGTAATTGTATGCTCCGATTCATACAACTACAGATATCAGTATATCAAAAATACGAAGTATACAAGATAGAAATGGTTATGAAATTTTAATAAAATATAAAAGAAAAATTAATTTTACGTATTGTATGTATATAAAAATTAACTCTGTTAGATAAACAGTATATTTTATAAAAACAATTATTTTTATTGGTATATTTGCATACATTAAATGTGATTTGGAAAAATGGTAAATTTAATATAAATAAAATGATAAAATTATGTAAAAATTTGACTTTCTTCATTTTGTTAATTATACAAGTTTTTGAGGATACTTCACAATACATTCACATAGTACAAAAATAAGCTTAAATTATATACACCTTTTAATAAATGAATTTCGAAAATAAAAGTTTAATGAACATCACAATAATTCCAATGATTAAATATTTCTTTTTTAAAATATGTATCACATACCAAATAGGTTTCTCTTCATTGACTTTTTTATATATATTTATACACTTATTTTTTGTTATGTTCAAACTTTGTACAATTTTTTTTAAATCAGAAATCGAACTTGTATTTTATTGCTTATAATCATATATATAGTATTAAATAAGCACATTAAATGTATATCATTTTTTATAAAATTATTTTTCTTTTCTTTTATTTTTACTAAGAAAAAAAGTAATCTTTTTGAACTAAAAAACATAGAAAATATTATCAATCAATAATAATAGTATATAAAAAGAAATTTTAGAAATATAGATGATTATTTACACTTAATTTACATTACCGATTTTATAATTTTGTTCTATTATATGTACATTCAATCTTCTTTGTTTACATGTGAATTACCCTATAAATTGTGCATCATTAATCCAAGTTCACCCGTTTCATATTATTTTAAAAAACAAAAGTAGCTAAGAGTGTCTAATAGTTTTATAACATCAATCATTTTATGATGTAATAGAACTCTGTTTCCTAAAGATAGGTATTTGTAAAACTATATAAATATATCATAATATGATCTTTATAAGTTATCAAAATATACGACTATAACAAAATGCTTGTACAACTAGAACTTGAACCTCCAACTTAATATGTTGGTAGGCCATTTAAGTAAGTACATGGTCGTTGTTCATTATTTTTTGATAATGATAATGTATTTACAACTTCACGAAAGTTCACCAATGGGTGCATTTTGTAACCACAAATCATGTATAAAATTATACAAATCATCACTAACAGCCACCTGTATAAATCGTCATAATTTTCAATTAGTTCATTATATTAGTTATATATTAGTAAAGAAATATTTCATAAATCAAAAATACATATTAAAAATACTTACTTTATATGGTGTAGGATTTAAATTTCTTTTGTGATCATTTCTGAGTGTTTTTAATGACTCTTGAACTCTATTTCGTATTTCTTGTAATGTAGGTAAAGGTTGACATAATTTACCATTTTTCCAATATACCTATAATTCATTCCATGTTTGTAACGAAGGTATTATAAATCATTATGTTATAAATGTTAATACTTTATTAATTTACCTTATGCAATGATTCCACTTGTGATGGAATAACATAAGCTCTCTTCGATTCTTGAAAAGGATGTCTGCAAAGAACTTTATGTTTTACTTGTGGAATCTCTTCCGTTGATCTTTGTAACAGATCGATCAAAGCATATCCATCCGCTCCGTATAATCTGAATGCATCTTTTTTTCCCGGTATTGTTACTTTATCAACTTCCTGGCTGAGTTTAATTCTAGGTTGACCATTAATTTCTACCATTTTATAAACGCAGCCTAATGCTGGTTGTCTTTGACATGTTACCAAATGCGTTCCAATGCCAAAACAATCGATTTTATGATTCTATTAAAAAAAAAATTATTTATAATAAAAATTTGTTGTAAGATAGAATATTTTTAATATATAGTTGTTTACCTGTTCGTTTAAACTTAGAATAGTTTCTTCGTTAATATCATTTGTCGCACATATTGTTAATTTTGCAAACCAAGGTATATTATATTTGATGGCAATTCTTTCGAAAATATCTCTCGCTGTATTACTTAAATATGCTAAATCGCCGCTATCAATTCTTATACCAATTGCTTTATAACCCAAGTCATTTAATGCTAGTGCCACTGCACAGAAGTTTAGGAGTCCACTCCTAAGTAAGAAATTTACTTATAAATTATGAATATAAAAAATATAATCGTAAAAAAGTGGAAAAAGCATTATCAATTATACATGCATTTACATTTTATTGAAATGCAATACACATACACACACATATAATTATTTTATATTTTATCAAAAATATACACACATTATACAATTTTTCAACCAGTAAAATCTATCTCTATTAATACTGAAAAGCGTAAAATATGTACTACTATTAGTTAAATGAAAATATATGATATTTTTAATGATCTTATGAGTAATAAATATGCAAATAAAATATGAATTATTACATTACATGCAAGCTATCAATTTTAAGAATGTATTGATTATGATACAACAGAAAATTAAATTGTGTTAACAGAGTAGTTCTTTTACTTTATATTTATATACGTTCTTTTATGATTTTTATACCTAATCTAGCAGACTAAATTCTTAAAGCTAATAATATTTTATTATTAATATGATTCATCAAACAGTTAATTGTTATTTTTTTACATGGCTGAATTGGGAAGGGTACTATATAAGGTCGTACATAGTATAAAATTTACAAAATTTTGTATAAACTTACAATTTCCGAGATCCTTTATTACTGTTTTACGAAAAAAAATGAAGCAACGATTTATAGATTTGCCCGCTTTACAGAATTATATTCTTTTTTATCTTAAATTGAACATAGCAATATTGAATTTGAAATATATTTGAATACATTACATAATTTTAATTCGGAATTATCAATATAAATAATAATTAAATACAATCTAACAAAGTAAATAATAAATAATGTTAAATAAAGATTCTAATAATATATAATTATTCATGAAACGAATTAAATGATTAACTGTACTTGATACATGAAAAAATATGATGATTTATCCTGCAAAGCAGGCAAAGAGGATAATATCGTACCTCACATAGAGCTCACCCAATTCGCCTTGATTTAAAAAGCCATTCTTGTCATATGAAGTCGATTCTGATATAATTGGATTGTTTCTGACACCATTTTGGGCATGTGTATTGGACCCATTTGTTAGGCATTTATTCTTTACATTTAGGCTGGCTATACATGCCTGTCTCTTGGCCGAGGATTCGATGCTATAAACACACTCCTGTTAGGCTACAGTGTGTATATGTTTCATCATGCCTGCTTTGTGAATTCGTAATTAGAATTACTAATATACATATCAAACTCAATTAAGTATATTTTTAGTCAAAAGCAAAAATTAGTAACAAAATATCTGAAATATCTTTTTCATATATTTTTTGTTTTTTCTTTTTCAAAAAATTTTACAAAATTTATTATTTTTCAATCTTATAGATTTAATTTAGATACTTATAGATATAATTTCACAAGCTTCATAAGGTTATTTTAGAACTACTCATACCATAAGTAATAAATATTTATACATTTAATTTATTATATATATTTTTGTTAAGTATTTTTAGTCGTCTATTTTTTTCACTACTTTATATTCATGCATATTAAAAGAGTATGAATATTAATATTTTTGAATCAAGTACTACAAGCTTACAAGTAAGAGTTTCTACAAATAAATTATTAAAGAGAATAATATTCAATAGATTAGCTAACATAGAAAAGTTTGAATGTGTACATGCAAATAATGAAATATATACACAAGTATCAAGAAATTCTGAACGCACTAAAAGAATGTGAAATAAAACAGATATATATAAGATTAATAAAATGTCATACCTTTTCACGTCATATGTATCTACAAGGGCAACAAATCGCTGTGGAAAAGCAATGGCATAACTAATTAAAGCAGCCAATTCTCCGTTAGAAGCCTCAGAAACTAGTGTTCCTACATCAGCTGCAATGGAATTCCGATGTTTGCAAGCTAATTCTAGAAGATTACAAACTTGTCCTGTTTCTTTATGTGTCAAAGTCTGAAAGAAAAATATAAAATAATAAAATGAAATGTAGTTTTAGTCAAATAAATTATTTAATAATTAATGTGAACATACCTTTTCTTGCAAATCATCAATACTGGTAAAAGATGTGATATATGAATGTGCATGTGTTCCACTTACAGGAATATTGTAAAGTTTTCCTGCTAAGACATTACTTGTACCATCAAAACCACCTGGAAAATATTAATTTTTTATTTCAAGAAATGTATTATTTGTTTATATATTCAACGAAAAAAGAGAAGTAAATATATTCTATATTTTTTATCACAATTAATTCAAAGAAGAAACAAAAAAACGAAAAATATTATTGTAGGTACGAATTTTTTTAAAACAATATACAAAATATAATTTTGTATGATTTAAAAAAATTAATTTGATTAATCATTAAATTGTGATTGTTTGACTGAAATAAAAAAAAAATAAAAATACAGGAAATATTTACCAATATAGCTATATTTCGAGGCACTTAAACCACCATCAGGACCCTGTGCTCTTCGAAGGCCAAATTCTAGTAATGTTATATTTTTCCCAGCAAACATACGAAATCTTGCTGCATTAGTTGCCATTAAACTTGCATAGTTAACTAATGTTAACAGTGTTGTTTCCAAAAGTTGTACCATTATTAATGGACCTTCTACTCTTAGTAATGGTATTCTGCATAACATATCAATTTGTATTGAGGTTTTAACTTATTAAGATTTGATGTTTCATCAAATATGTAATGTTGATAAGCATTCGAACATTAACTCTAACTGCTGTCATAAGAGCAAGAAAAAGTTTCCTAAACGATGACAACGATGATGATGATTAACACAACTGAGTATTATCTGCATAAAGCATGCAACTTTTAAAGAACTTTTAACTAACCTTGGGAAAACAACTGAACCTTCTTCCATAGCATATATTGTCACATCTTTTGGAGTCAGATCCTTCAAATATTCAAAAAATCTTTGATCAACTGATGATGGCATTGTTGACTTTAAGTACTTAATATCTGTATAATTTAACGTTATAATTATAAATATCAAAGAATTTTTTTCAATTTACAGATTTATATTATTTATATTATTTAACGATATAGTATTTAAAATAAATGCATACCACTTGAGGAATAATGAAATTTCTCTAGAAATTTAATACATTCTTCTAATCCAGCAAAAATTGTGAATTCTCCTTGAAAAGGATTTTTACGAAAAAACAAATCAAATACAGCATGGTCATTTATTTTTTCACTTTTCCAGTAAGCATATGCCATTGTAATTTGGTACAAGTCTAAAAAAAATGAAAGTACAAATGAATATTATTTCATGCATTATTTAAATAATGTTTTGATATATGCATTGTATAATTTTGATATTGATATTGCATGTACAAAGTACATGTTTACTTCTTTAAATAATGAATAAATAATAAATAACGATCAATTATATGCAAAGCAATCCCGTATAAAAAAATATTTTTAACAATTACACAAAATAAAAGAATAATTCAACGATCAAGATGTTTCAATTCTTGAAGGAAAAAAAAATGGAAAAAATTTTCCATTGAAAATTATCGTGTTCTATTCGTGCGACTCATATTTTAAAGTACCACGTGCTGTATCGTCACTTGATACATCTATCAAGTAAACGATAAAACAAAATGAATTGTGTTTTGAGGTTATTTTCTTCAACATTATTCTTTGCAATTGATAAAAATTGCAAACAAGTACCTGTTAAAAGTGGTTGTACAACACAATTTTGACGTGTATGACAGCATGATTTATTTTCGTTATCTGACATTTTTCTTCGAAACTTTAGCGAGCGAACTTAACTGCACTGTGATTGAAAGGAAAAAAAAAAGAAACGACTGCAAGGTAACTTTATCTTTTGATAAAGGACGTTACACCATTCACTGAACGACAACGGTCAAGCACCGTTACCGACGAACTAGCATGTTTCGACAGTGAACTCCGTATTATACGCTCCTCGTATTCTCAGAATCGATAGGAACGTTTGAAGGACGTTACGAACGACGCAACTTGTTATTCCGCCATTTCCACCAATGATAAAAGCTCTTCTTAAGAAATAAATAGAAATTAGGTTGTCACTTTAGTGCGAAGTACGTGTGTGAACGCACGGGAAAAGGGTTACGAATTTCCTCTACGTTATTATTGAATTCGTTTCCTTTTTCTTTCATCCCCTCTTCACTATGTCGATTACAATGTATGATCAACTTGTTCATTGAAAATTTCGAACAAACGTTATCTCGGAAAGCATGATTCGTCATTTGTAAACGACTTCGCTTAAGTTAATCTAAATGTACCGCACCTAAATTATGATTGTCCGGTTAAAAATCAAGTAGGAATTTCAGATATGCGCTAGTTCAGAACAAGTTGAATGTATGTATTTACACGGGCTGACTTAACCGCTCTACGGTACTACTAAAGTCAGTGTAACGCGTTACAATCGTGATGTAACTTAAATTAATATTAAAAATCAAATATATTCATTGTGCGCATCTTGAAATTTGTTATCGGTATACACACAAGTGCATATAATCGTGATATCACACACTAGATGCAACACATCCAATGAAACTCATGTACGAATGATTCCAAATTGTATGATTAAAAGGTATAATCATTTTTCTATTTGATGATGAGATCAGAGCCCTCTTGCACTACAAGTTATCAACTAATAATATTAGTAAATTTACAAATTATAAATTATAACAGTTTTTGCAATTATACAAATTTCCACTTACGATTGTTCGTAGTAAAATGATTATAAGTCAAATAATTGAAAAAAGTTTGTTTATTTGTTATATAATGTACATTATGTAACATGTATCATACAGCGTTATATATCAAGCATGAAATTAGAACCATTTCCGATTATTACGAAGATAATAATTTTACTCAATGGTTACAATGATTTCAATGATTTCAAGAAAGGTCATGTTCTAGATAGCACGTGATAATTTAATGTGATTTCTTTATAAAAGGATGCATAGAAAATATCTGATGTTCAAGTTCTTTTTTAAATGTAATCATATATTTTTGTTTAAATTAATCGATCCTGGTCGTAATTCTGCACGAAAAAATTCATTATCAATTCATAATAAAAAATTTATTATCAATTCATCTAGGGGATATTTTAACTTTAGTTTTGCAATGTTTATCATATAATAGACGAGGAAAGACAGGAGCAATATTCTTATATTCGTATTACGTTCTTAGCAAATAAAATATGAAATGCAATTTCTTTTCCATGGTCATGATTTTAAAAATAATATCATTCCATTCAAAGGAAGGTATTAGAATGTTTAGAGATTATCATTTGTAATTTTTTCCCACCATTATTTTCAATACTCCTCTAATTGGCCAGATTGGAGGAGTAGATAGATATAGCATCACTCTTGTTGGCAAGCTTTCCTTTATTTTGTTGGGTACGGCTTTTCCTATTTTTATTACGTTCCTTTTCTTGTCTTAAACATAGAATTGCAGTTAGTGGTGTCATGCCACGGGAAGTACAATTATAGCACGGGACTTGTGGATGCGATTGGAGCATCCTTCGATTAAACACGAACCTATCGTTAGGGGCAACATGTCCGTACACAATGACCTTCGTCGTAATGATACAGCATTGCAGCTACTTATTCTTTGATGGGAAACTTCTTTTTAAACGTCGAAAATTACCGTGGAACTTTGAAACAAACGCCTCGATCGCGTGCACTATGATGCAACTTTAAATTTGGACTCCTTTCATATCCATCAGTTTAATTGCTCCTCAACTTCTATCGCTTAGCTGTAACATCGTAGTTGCTACGATGTTATACATGCGATACATACGTACGTGTATACATACATATGTACGTACATATTCGTGCAACGAATCATAAATTGTTCCTCCGCGTTATTTCGATCAAACAGCTTTCACATAACAATATATCGAATGAACACATCTCTTTTTTTTTTTTAACGAATTCGTCCTAGTTTTCTTTATCAAAAGAAGTAAGCACTTCGCGATTGTAAAGATAATTTCAATGAAAGAAATTTATTTCTTGATAAATTTTTCCATATCTTTAAGAGAGATAACATTGAATTACATTTGAAATACATTTTTGTAAAATGATCGAGAAGATTGATACGTCTCGATAAATTTATCAAAACTGTACGTTCTTCATTGAATAGAGCAATTTTTACGTCTAAAGAAACGTCTCAAACACGCGTATCATGACTGGAAAGGAAATAAAAGCTTGCAACATCTTTGCTCTGTCTCGACTCTATTAAATAGTTTTGTAACATTAATCTTCCATTAGGCGCAAGCTTTCATGTAGAATCGGACATGCAAGAAACCTTAACAATGACCTATTGCATAGACTAGATCATAAAGCTTTTGCAAGCCGCTTGATTTTTAAAACGTTCATCTCGATACTGGAATTGAAATCGAAGTAAACAAATTTGAAGCGTTTGACTTATTTGACTCTCTGTTAATTAAACTATGCTAACACGGTTTGTATACGTCATAAAGTCGTTATTTCAGTTTTATCTTATCAGTATCAGCGGTCTAATTTATAGACTTTAATTATTAATTTTTCTCGCTATCAGCATTCACGTGTCATAGGAATTTTTGTTCTGATATCTGAATAATCTGGGAAATGAGTTTCTCATTTCGTTGCTCGAGAACCATCGACCTTTGTAACATTGTGCTATATAGTTGAAACCAGCAACTGCTGGTTGATTTTTTAGTTTTTCCCTAATTGATACGAGAGGAAGAGAATAGATATTAACGACAATTTAATTCGAGTCACGCTGAGTCACGTCTCGTTCTTCTTATGCTCTTACATGTGTGTATATATGTACATGGCAGTACAAGAGGCGAAAAGGTCAGGCTAACGAATGAAAGTGGTTACGTGGCGAGTATGCACCGTCTTTTACACGAATCTAATTAGAAAAAAAAAAGAGATACCGAATTTTACCATTTCTGTACATTTGCTACGATCACGTAAGAATTCTTACCGCTCTTTCCGATTAAATTTTACTCGATCGAACATACGAAATCTAATACACACCCGCAATATTCTTACGATGACGTATTATTTACGTTTCTGACATTTCCAGGCAACAACGATGACTGATCATCGCAATCTCGCGCTATGACATAGAATACAGAAAATGTAAATAAAGTATCATGCAAGGAAAGCGCACAATCAGTATGTGTGAAATACGAAAAGGAAGAAATAAGAAAATCTTGTATGATACATTATCTGGGAGAGGATAAGATACGGCGTTGAATTAAAAATAGGCAAATTTTCCACAGTAGATCTGACACAACAAACGTTACGACGTTTGATGCGTTCGAGTTTGCCGGATGACTATTTTTACATAACACGTCGAGGTAAAAAAAACGAAACGGACATGGAATAAAGATGACAAATGAACCGTGGACATAACGAAATGAAAGTATAAGTTTTCCACCGCCGACCTTTTATACAATCATTTTATTAAGTGTCACAATTGATATCATCGACAATTCATATCTCGACTCTACATATAATTATTCGATATTTGTCTGCCGGAACTACACTACGTTAGTTCATTGCGTTACTGGCACTTCTGAGATATTGTTTTAATCGCTAATTTAAACGCTATTCGCCTCTGTGTTACGCGGACTTTAGAAAAATACTCAATTTTTGACTCCTCATAGCAAGAGCTGAGCAAATCTACTTAAGACTAATAACTAACACTAACAACTAAGACGAGAATCGCTTTCAAACTTAATAATATACTTTTTTAATTATTATCAACAACTAGGACATTTCCCGGAAGCAATGCATTTGGCAGTATTAGGGATTGGAACGAAATCCGGAAGAAAGGAAGATGATTTGCTCATCCCTGCTTCAAGAACTGTAGGTGTAAAAATTGAGCCATGAAAACGAGATCGTCGCTTTATTCTTTCCTTTTTTGTTCTTTTTCTATCAAAAATGGATTATTTTCATCGCGGATATATAATTATCCAATAATATTCGTCTACTTAACTACGTAACTGGCAAGCGTCCGCAAAAATGTAATTGCAAAATATACGATTGTATCTCTAAATAAGCTAGGGTAGCCGTTCGTTAAAGCTTTCGCGTTATCGAATATTTTTTTTTTTTTTTTTTTACGTATAAAATATGAGTATATTTACTTTTACATATTTCTAAATATCATTTGGTTTAAGAAATTATTTTGGAACTGAATGTAAATATAAAAGCTATTGAAATCTGTTTTAAATCAAGTTCAACATGTTAATTATAATATTATACCACTCTTCTTTGGTCCATTTTATTTTCATTAAAACGAAAGCTTGGCCACCCTACTACACTAATGTAACAACGCGATTACACTTGGTATTTTCTGTCCGTAAGTACTACTTCTTAATTACGCA